AAAAAAAAAAAAAAAAAGTGATTTAAGCCCCAAACTCTCCAGCCTGTTCAAAAAGGAAATCCACAAAATAGACATTTATCACCAGAAGAAAAGATTATTCCAATTTCTTTTGGTGGTGAAACTCTGACCCTAAAGCCATGCAATGATAAATAGATAGCCTATTTCTGCCCCTTTTATCTATAGATTTCAAAGTGCAAGTGAGAGGAAGGTGATATTTTGGGTCTTATCTAAGTTAGGATGGAGGGAGAACAGAAGCCAGAAGATTTCAGTGGCTTGTTCGTTGTTAGGCATAAAGGCAGAGATAAAAGAGCACTTGGTCTGACTTATTCTGGGCTTTTCTTGTAAAATAGCCAAATTAGCCCCTGGGCCTGATGGGAGTCACCCAAGATTCAGTGAGGGTGGACTTCTGTGGTGTTTATGACGAAATCTAAGGCCAGGATTTGGCTCCATATCACTTGAAACAAACATTTAATGAGTAGAAAGCTCAACTTCCTCAGAAGGATTACCCATTCAGCTTTTTACTTCATTGTCCTATCGTTTGCTAAAGGTCCTGAGACAACACAGAGGTCTGCATAAAAAGGACAATGGGTATTATCAAACTTCCACTGAGGACACTATGTATATGTTTTCCTCAGAGCACCTGGGTACTTAATGCTGTGGAAAACGGCTCCTTCTTGTCAAGGTCAAAATTTAAGGGGAGCCATGCAGAGAAGATTCCTGTGTGCATGAAAGGCTTGGGAAATATTCTTCCCCATCACCAAAGCCAATGTCTAACCTTAATAAATGCAACAAGACATCCAGTGTCTTCACACTTTCCTAGGGATGCCTACAGCACATGCAAACTTCTCTGTGGTTCTCAGGAAGTTTCCAGTACCTCTAAGGACTTCAGCACAGTTTATAAATATTGACAAGTTTTCTATGAAAATGGGGGACTTTCTCTGGAAAAGATTTTACCCAGCAGTGACCAGCTGCCCCACCTCAGTAGAAAATAGTGGATAGTTGGGCAGAGAGCTGCTGAAACCCTCAGAAAATGATGACTGAATGTAAACTCTGCAATGCATACATGCAGGTATTTGGGGAGAAAAGTAAGCTAGTCATCTTTTTTTTTTTTTTTTTTAAAGATTTTATCAAACTTTGTCTTGGCAGGTCTTACTCAGGAGAGAGTTTCCTTCTCTCATCTTCTGTGCTATTGTCAAACTTTGTATTTGTGTGTTTTTTTTTAAGATTTTATTTATTTATTTGACAGAGATCACAAGTAGGCAGAGAGGCAGGCAGAGAGAGAGGGGGAAGCAGGCTCCTTGCTGAGCAGAGAGCCCAACACAGGGCTCGATCCCAGGACCCTAGGATCATAACCTGAGCTGAAGGCAGAGGCTTTAACCCACTGAGCCACCCAGGCACCCCAGTCATCTCTTTAATGAAGACCAGCTTACTGACACTGATTTTGGATGATTCTGCACCAAGTTTGCAAAATGGAGCAAAATCTGAGTGGTTCTAAGAGGCGAGCACCTGTTCTTGGAAATACCGAGGATTTCTTCATATTTAGAACTTTCATTTTAATACAAATGAGTTTATTCCTATCAGAAAAGGGGCAGGGACACTACATTGTCTATTTTAGAGAAAAGAAAGGCAGAGAAAGGTTGGGGCACCTGGGTGGCTCAGTTGGTTGAGCATCCTCTTGGTTTTGGCTAAGTCATGAGCTTAAGGGTTGTGAGATAGAGCCCCATGTTGGACTCTGTGCTTGGTGCAGAGTCTGCTTGGGATTCTCTCTCTCCCTCTCATTCCACCTCTCCCTGCCTGCGCATGTGCTTTCTCACTTTCTCTCTTGCTCTAAAATAAATAAATAAATCTTTTTAAAAAGTCAAAGAAAGGTCTATTTAAGATATTACAACCCATGGAGAGCCAGAGCTGGCATGATTCTGTAGTTTAGGAAAATACACCTACCCCGGCGAATGGAACCCCTTATTTTAACTAAGACGCCCCACAAACAGATGATGACAGTATTAAGGGCTTAATAATGTTTACACAAGGGTCTCTTCCAGAAAATGACATTTTAACCTCTTGTTTAAAATTCCAGCCCTTTATTTCCTCAGAAATTGTTCTCTTGTCTCTATATTAGGAAAGTTTGCTGCACATGCAACTCCTTGTCCCCCCGAATCCTAGATTCCTGAGGATTTATATCTCTGGACTCTCAGAAGTACACGACCTGATCATGAAATGGAGCTGAGCTGAAAGTACGTTACTGTGTTCTGAAATGCTCCTTCTTTTCACTTATGAACAATACTAAGATGTTACTATAAGAAAAGCAATGTAGGGGGTGCCTGGGTGGCTCAGTGGTTAAAGCCTCTGCCTTCGGCTCAGGTCATGAGCCCATCGAGCCCTGCATCGGGCTCTCTGCTCAGTGGGGAGCCTGCTTCCCTGCTCTCTCTCTGCCTGCCTCTCTGCCTACTTGTGATCTCTGTCAAATAAATAAATAAATAACCTAAAAAAAAAAAAAGGCAATGTAGTTTGGAAGGTGAGAGGTCCTTCAGTAGATAAAGAGTGCATTCCAGCTCTACCCATCTTGGGCAAGTTCACTAACTTCTTAGCATCCAGGTGTTATATTTTTGTAAAACAAGGTAATGCCATCAGCTACTTAGGGAGGTGATATCAATCAATAACAGTTATATATTTTTTATTGACCACATATAATGCAAAACGCTTTCTGAGTTTTTTAAATGATCATCTCATTTAATGCTCACAATGTCTCATTGAGTTGGGTGCTATTATGTTCATTTTATACAGGTGAGGGAAGTGAGGCTTTGAAATATCACATTCATCCTTAAGCCAGAATTCAAACACGGGCCCCCTGACTTCAGGGGGAAGCTATGGATTACTACATCAACAGTGTGAGTGAACTGATAACATAAATATAATATGTTTCGCATAGTTAGTGACATATAACTGAGGTTCATTAGAAGTTTTGGTACAATTAACATTAACTAATGTTTATCAGCAGTGAAACTCTTTGAGGCCAGACACGGAGACTCACTTATTTTTGTAATCTCAGATTCTAGTACAGAATGCAGATGTGCTCTGTGGAGACTTGTTAGGTTAAGAACGAACACGGATTCCACTTGGAATCATCCGCAGTAAAGAGCAGCACTGCCTGAAGCCACTTTCAGCTGGTCTAAGCAAAACCATATCTAGAACAGACACTGAGTTCCCTTCGCCCTCATATTCCCTATTAGAAAGGCCTCATAAGCCTGTTAAATCACAGCAATAAAGAATACAAAGAACCTGTGTTGTATTTTGTCTATAACATACAGTATTTATCAAGAAATAACCTCCTTCACAAATGGTGCAGAAGACACAAAGAAAATGAAAGACTGCCCTCTCTCTTTAACCTAGTCAAAACAAGAAGCTGTAACGACTTGGAAAAACTGTTAGGTATTTGGTTTGGGGGCAATCAAAGGTTAATGAAATGAAGTCCTAATTGTTTGTGTCTTTAAATTTCTAACTCAATGTCAATTAATGAAATTAAAATCTATTGATATTTATATTAATTTTAAAATAAAGTTTAAAGTTAAAATTCCTATCCAAAGGATAAAAAAATGCAGACTCAAAGGGGTACATGCACTCTGACGTTTACAGCAGCACTGTCAACAAGAGCCAAATTATGGAAAGAACCCAAGTGTCCACTGACTGATAAATGGATAAAGAAAATGTGGTACACACACACACACACACACACACACACATTACTCAGCCAGCAACAAGAATGAAATCTTGCCAGTTGCAATGACATGCATGGAGGTACAGTATACTATGCAAAGTGAAACAGGCCAGTCAAAGAAAGAGAAATACCATATGATTTCACTCATATGTGGAATTTAGGAAACAAAAGAGATGAACATAAGGAAGAGGGTGGGAAGCAAACCGTAAGAGACTGATAACAACAGAGAACAAACTGAAGGTTGCTGGAGGGGAAGTGGGCGAGGGGATGGGCTAAATGGGTGATGGGCATTAAAGAGGCCACTTCTTGTGATAAGCATTGGGTATTATACATAAGTGATGAATCACTGAATTCTACTCTTAAAAACCAATATTACAGGATATGTTAACTAACTAGAATTTAAATAAAAATATGAAACAAAAATAAAATTCAAAAAATAAAATAAAACTCCTAATTCAATATTAATAAATAAAAATAATAATTTCATTATAATATTTTGGTTTAGGATATTACCTTCTACAAAATTTCATTCTTACATGACATTCATGATACTACTTAACTTTAGGAAGTTTACTAATATCCCTATTTTAAAAATGTTAAGACTCGGTACAAAAAAGCTTCATATCTTGCTCAAGGTTACACAATGAATGAATGGCAGAACCACTCAGGGGACATTCCCAGGTATCTGAAAAGAAATGTGGCCTTGAACACTGACATCTGAATAAGACAAGAGAACAGACAAGCTTCAGCCCAGTTCAAATATTCAGAGATAAGTGGCACTGTGTAATCACATATGGCTGAATACCCTTTATAATTTTTAACCATTTTCTTTCTCAAGGACATATTTTCTTGAGATTTTACTATTTTTTAAATTAAAAGAAGAAAGGAAGAGAGAAAGAAGAAGATAGAAATTAATTACACTCTTGCTACTTAACATAATAATTTTATGCAATCCACATACTTCTAAAAAACTACGACAATTAGGTGTAATGAAACATAGATATTGGGGTAAATGATGGTTGCTGAAATCCTCAATATACCCCAGTCAATGCTTCACATCTAATGGTCAAACTTCCAGCTGCAGGTAAGCCGCTCTACACCAGAGTGCACACGCGCCAGTTCGAGCTCACCCACACCTCTCTACGGCTGTTGTGAAAGCTGAGGTAATAAACACCTCGGCTACACAAGGACCTAATTGTGACACAAGCAAAGAACCGTCCCTCTGGAACTATCCATATTGGTGACAGAAGGCAGGTCTCGTAAAGTGGAAATCACGAGCAATAATTACCTAGGCATGTAAAGGACTCTCTCGGCCACCACAAAACCCACCCTGAAGAAGAGATTGCTGGCTGGAATGAACGGGAAAACCAGGAACAACAAGCCCACTAAAACTTCCTTGTGCTCCAGTCTCTGAAACACACAACAGTGAAGGACAAATTAATTTTTAAAACTTTCACTTCAATCGGCATTTAACCATCTCTTTCATTCTCAAGTTCTCATTGATGGAATGAATAAATTAGACCAATGCAAACGCTTTGATCAGTGAGCTGAATTCATCAGAGAAAGTCCTTGGGCTGAAACCCCTGGCAAGTCACACGTTCGCCACCCAGAAACCTCTGATAATTGCACATGAGCAGTGACCATTACTCCTTGTTTTGGGCCAGTCCTACAGCAACCCTACTTCTTGGCTCTGGTCCCTTTCAGAATCTCTGTCCGAGAGCAAAGCAGCTTAATAGAATCAAGCTCACTAAGGCATCATAGAGAATTATTGTCCTCTCAGAAATAGAATGCATTAAGAAAAAAAAAAACAAAAACCCACAACAAACCCACACAAAGCTCACCAGGAGCTTAGCCTAAGGCTTGGCATAAAAGAAATTAAATGCAAATAGTAAAATTCAGAGAACCAATGAGAGAGATCATTAAAGCTGAGAAATTTTTAGCTCAAATTAAGCATTTTTTCCATGAAATTTTTTGGCATCAAAGTCATTACAATAATTCATTAAATTGACAAAGCACCTTTCTCTAATATTATATATTTTCTGTAGATCTAAATTTGTCAAGATTTTTCTGCCAATTCTCATTAACAGAAAAAATTTATTACTAATAATTCGCTATAACGGACACTGTAAACGTTAGTTTGTATTTCCATGACTATCAATGATATGGACACATTTGAAGACAGGCCTATTTAAAACACACCTTAATATATAGGATGACATTATTTTTTCTTTTTAAAACAGTTTAAGAAAACCAAATAGAACTTTGCATATTACAGTTATAAATACTTCTTACAAACATTTAAAAGTATATTTTAATAATTGTATAAGACTATATAAAAGTTTTAAAAATATAAATAAAACTTCCTAATACCAGCTACTAATGCTTTAAGTGGACAAAGTAAAAGATTTTTAACATCTTGAGGAATTTGTCACCTGGATTTTATTAAAATATTGGTTTTGCTGACTATAATGTATAGAGTAATAAAATTCCAGAGAGCAGTTCCACATGAATAAATGTGATTTGGACAACTTCCCTTAAATAATTAATGGCTCTATAAGTTATGATCTCATTTTTTTACCTAAAGGAACCATATTCTTTAGAATTAAAAGATGAAAGGGAAAAAAAGGCTTTCATAACAAGCCTTCAACTGAAATGGATGCAACTGGATGATGTTATATTTTCTCTGACCCACTAAAATTGAGAAAAAAAAATAGGTGAGAAAAGTAGCAAGTTCATTATATTTAAAAGCTGCAACCTATTTTTTTAATTTAGATTATACTTTGAATTTACAAAATACATTTAATCTCAAGAACTTAAAGTTTACGTAATTTAAAGAAGAATAACACCTTCATAAGAATCCTGTGACTCAAGAGCAAGTATTTCTTTGCTAAAACTGAAAATGAATCCCAGAGAATGAGTGTCTCGCCCAGTGTTCCTCATGAACTCTCGGCCTATCACTGAGTAGGGGGTTGATGTCCTATTTCTGTCGATGCACTTTTATTTTTTAGCTATAGTTGACTCCTTCTTTGAAGCCTATCAAAACGTGAAATATTTTTTACAAAAGAATTCGCATATTGTCCCACAGAAATTTCTGAAGAGAACTTAATATGTTCTACTTATTAATCCTATAGAATTAAGAAGAATATAAACAGAACTCAAACCCGGCCATTAGCCATGTCCCTGGATAGTGTCACATCCATTGAGCCACCTCTCCGGCTGTCCTCAAGGTTAGGAAAAAACAGTCCTCACGGAGGAGCTGAAGGAGACATCACTTCCATACCCCCAATCTCACACCTTCTTTCCTGAGCAAAGGCTGCCTTCCTCATGCTGGTGGCCAGGGGTTTATGTCCTTTACTCAGCAGAATCCCCAGTGCTTTCAGGAGCCCCTAGGTTGGGAGGAGGCAGGTGTCCTGACATGTAGGCACCCAACTCCGTGCCTGCCCCCTCACTCTCCCTCTCCCAACCCTGCAGGGGGCAGGACCCCCGCGGAGCTCCGCGCTGCTGGGGACAGGGAGTGACCGTCAAGGAGCCCCCAGCCTCCCCCAGAAGACTGACCTGCAAACTGAAAACTCACTACACCCTGTGTTCCTTATTCCTCCACCTGGTTCTTCAGGCTCCAAGAGCATCTTTATTTCCTTCATGGCCGTCATCCCAATTGTAATCACACATTTATCTGTGTGTTTCCATCTTTATAAAATGTCTGTCTTCCCCAGGAGACTGGGAGCCAGGAGGGCAGGGAGCTGGTCAGCTGTGTTCACTGGTACATGATCTGTGCTTAGTTCAGTGCCTGGCACTTAATGGGTGCTTGGAAATACTTGTAGAATAAATCAGTAAGTGAATAAATGTACCCACCAAGGGAGAAAACTGGATGTAAGACGGAGAGAAGTTAAGGAGGACATCCTGGTGGAGGTGATGATCTGAGTTTGAAAAAAATTAATGAATGCATAGGAGGCAGACAAATTTGGTTGTGGTTGGGAAAGGAGGGCAGGTCATTGGCAGAGAAGGGGCTGGTCCTAAGGGGAGCTTTTTGTTCAACTCAGTCAAAGACAGTGGCACAGCACCCAAACTCAATGAAGTTTTACTATTCTGTTTCGTCTATAGAAAAGTAATATTCATGACAAATTCTTTATTCTTAAATTGATGATCATACCCTTTGTCTTCCCTCCTCCCTCTTCAGTCAAGAGAGAGAGAAAATAATCAGAAATGTATTTCTCTAAATGGTAAGTCAATCAATCAAACAGAAAGTTGTAAAGTTAGGGGAAAATGTCATGGATATGGCTGAATTTCTGAGAATGAGAAAGAGTGGGAGGGAATCCAATTTCGCATGTTGTGGATCACAGATGTGACAGAACTGGCTAAATAATTTAAAGCTTATTTCAGCCTAACAGAAACTCAAACAAAATATGAGTTGGGGGAGGGAAAGAAAATTTGTGACTTTCCAAAGTACCCAGAGTGCATTCAATTTCTAGGAATAGAGGCAAATGGAAATTTACTTATTCAAATTACAGTAGAGGGTAAAAAGACAGGAGTATTAAAAGAGCTAATCATATGGCTATTAATAATGTACATTATTTGATTAACTGTGCAACTTCAGAGTTAATTTATTTCTTTGAGCTTTAACCTGATGATCAGTAAAACAAAAGAAGGGATATTGATATCTATTGTGTCTGTAGGAAAATGTGTGACAAATTCAGGATGACAGATGGTAGGTGTGATTCTTTCCTGGCTTGGGATGAAGTAGAGAAGCATGACCCTCAGCTGCAAGGAGATAAAGAGCTCTCCACACCTGCCGGAGGGTTTTGTTCAGCTGCTGTCTCCACAACACCTCTCCCATCAAGCAGCTAAGTAAGGGAAGAGCAGTGGTTTTCTCAGGACTGTGAGGGACCTCAGAGGAAACATTACTCTAGAATCCAAGTCTAGCCTGGCAGCTTCTGGTTTCTTTCTTCCCCTTTGCCCTACTCTCAGATGACTTTTCAAAGCACAGGTCACAGATAAGAGGACACACGCACGCAAGCAGGCACACACGCGCACTGTGGCCAGCCGGGCATGGGTGTGTGTTCAGGAGAAGAGGACCCCTCCCTGCCCCATTCAAAACAGACAACAATCCACTGCTCACCGTTCCCTTCCAGAAAGGCAGAGAATGGACCTCATTATGGTAATTTTTTCAAAGATTTTCTTCTTAATTTTTAAATTATTTCTATACCCAATGTGGAGCTCGAACTTACAACCCCAAGATCAAGAGTCCCATGCCCTACCAACTAAGCCAGCCAGATGCCCCCTCATTATAGTAATTACTATCATTGTTAATATATTTTCTCCCATCTCTACAGGTTTCAGGAAAATTGTACAGTGCATGTAGGGTGCGAATATGTTCTCAGAATTCTAGATATAACACAGCTGTATTTCAATTCTAAAGATTTATTTGGCAGCGCTGGGCTCTCACTGTCTGCATCTAATTTATCAATCTTCTGAGAAGCTGATGACAGTTGAGCTCCCCTCTTCAGCCCCAGGAGACAGGCGTTTGCCAAGGTGACAACGGGCATGGCTGCCAGTACGTACCAGACCCCCCTTTCTCTTTCTGTTTAGAGGTCTATTCCTTCCATTACACTACGAATTCCTTGATGACAGTCACCATATCTCATTTAAACTTGCTACCTGGATATGTGGCACACACAGAATTGGCATTCAACTCATATGAGCTGCAACAGTAAAGCTCAGTGATGAAAGCTGCATACACATTACCAGGGTTCTCTAGAAGAGCCTTTTCAGGGACTCCCTGTCAAGGAAATCTTTTACTTTTGGTAACCCTTTGAAACATGGTATTTGCAGCATTAATTTGGGGTGAAAAGTCCTCAGTCTCTGAGCATCTAAGAGCATTCCGTAAGGGTCTGGCAGACTGACTGACGGTACTGAGTTGTTTTATTTTTTTTTAAGATTTTTTAAAATTTATTTATTAGAGAGAGAAAGAGAAAGAGCACAAGCATGGGGAGCAGCAGTCAGAGGGAGAGGGAGAAGCAGGCTCCCCACTGAACAGAGAGCCTGAAACAGGGCTTGATCCTGGGACCCCAGGATCATGACCTGAGCCAAAGGCAAATGCTTAACTGACTGAGCCACCCAGGTGCCCCAGTACTGAGGTATTTTAATCAAGACATACCCACACCTTCTGCACCACTCTGATTCCATTCACTGCTACTTATGACTCTTCCGTCTTGCCCCATCCTTTGGTTTGTGTGCTCAGGAAAAGTGACATCTTTTACTTTATTGACATTCAATTTTAATTTTTAAAATACTTTAATGTATTAAGATTTCTAATCCTATTACCACTATTGTCATTGTGAAAGTTCTTTTAATTGAAGACAAGTTATTTGATCATCTGGAATCCCTTGTGACTACAAGTACTTCCTCACCTC